AGATCCTACACACTTTGGACTTAGAGATTTCTAAGAGGAGTTAGAAATCAAGTTATAATAGCTGAATGCTTCCTTCCCGCTGGGGTGCTACTGGAGGCTTCTGGGAGAGGAAAGCTATCAACACTCTTACCTAGCTGTGAACACTAAGAGCTTCAATAACAACTACCTTGACAAGATGTGTCCACTGGTGCAGTGGTGGCACGAATGTTTTGGGGGTAACAATTTTCTAATTGCAGTCAAGGCCTGCTCCAGGGTTAGGCCTGTACCCTTGATCAAGAGCTGGTGGCAGGGAGATCACAGTACCTAAAGGGGAACCCATTGCTGTCACTTTGCTGAAAGGACATGGTTAAACCACTTTCTAAATACTTGTGTTTGCACAAAATTAGTGTTGCTCTTGGTCTTCATCAGAAAAGCTTTATTACAATAGACAACAGTTAACTCAGAGATTCCTAACTGGTCAAAGAGGTGAAATAAAGGCTGATGGATTGATTGCTCATCCCCAAATGGGGATCTATATCACCCATTCCAGGCTCAAGGAACATTGTAGAACATGGGAGACAGGAAGAATAAAGAGCCGGAGGATGGGGAGATGTGTTAGAAAATGAAGTCTTCCTTGACATGACATTCCTGTTACACTGATGAGCTCTGCAGTTGTGGTTGCCCACATGTCAAGACTGAGTTCTATCAACATTTCATCATGGGAAGGGGAAAGGCCCATGAGGCCCCGCCCCCTGAGGGATTGCAGACAGTTGTGGCTGGGGGAAGGGATATCACTTTCTTCAGTGGTATAGCCTACTGCTCTCTGGAGGTAAGCAACCTCCCACGCATGGCCAGGCAAGTAGCCCTAATTGAACTTTGGGGGGACACATAGAGAAATGACAGTGGGAAGAGGACTTGAAAAGTTTTCAATGGGGGAGATGAGAGTAGTAGGTGAAAAGGACTAAAATTCATTATATACATGCTTGAACCTGTCAAAGAATTTAAGAAAAAGTTGCATGCCTGGAGTACAACTTGTAGGCAGCTCAGTCAGGAGAGCCCCTTCCCAGCACTTGTTACCACTTACATGATGCTGGCACAAATCTCAGGGGCTTTCTCAGATTTCAACTGCCTGAACTTTGCTTCATTTACTTTTCATTTACTTTGTTGATTTGAAGGATCCTCTCTCCAGGACTTGAGTGAGAGGAAATGGCAACATCACAATTGGTATTTTTACTGTCTGTGATTAGCTGAAACCGTAACAAAGATCTCACTGCATTGCTTTGTCTTAAACAGGTGTCATTGTGTAGACATAGCTGGCCTGGAACAAACTCTGTATACCCAGTTTGCCTTGAACTCAGATCCACCTGCCTCTGCTTCCTGAGTGCTGGGATAAAAGGCGCACACCACCACCACTCCAGTCAAGTCTCACTAGTTTAAAGAGTGGCTACTTAGACCTCATATCTCAAAGGAAAATCAAAGTCATGTACTGTACATGTAGCTGGAGACAATAGTACATGCCTGTAACACTAGCATTTGGGAAATTGGGGCCATAGACCAAGAGTTTCAGGCCAGCCCGGGTTACACTGTGAGACTTTGTATCAAAAAAATAAAAATAAAAGATGGATACACTATTGTGACAAGGTAGCAAAATACAAATCGCTGATTTTCCATTCAAGAATAATTTCAAGACTGTTTTATAAAAGTGGTTGAAAACTTAAATACAGGTCTTGTTATCAGCCAGAATTGTTTGAAGTTTTGTACTGTCTGTAAAATTTGCCAACATGTGAGGAGTGTCATCGGTGCTCCCACCAGGGACCATGGCTGGAGGCTGCGTTTATGTCTGTAGTCCTTGCTGCCAGAAGGCAGCATGCTGAATGAGGTCTATGGTCTGTGTTGCTGCCTGAACCCATGTTGATGTTCATGGTCCATGCTGTCTCCAGAAACCATACCAGAAGCTCACGATCCAGGCTGCCACTGGCTGTTATGGGCAAGGAAGCTTCTTTTGTGGTGTAGATGATGACTGCAGAATCACAGCTGAGAATGAGAGACATTGAAGGGTTCTGAGAACTCCATACACCCCCAAAAAGTAGACAGGAAGCCATTGAAGAGAACCCTTAGAAACTGACAGAGAAGCGGAACTGTGTGGCTTCTGATTTGTGGGGAAGGACTTGTCTCCTAAGGGGCTGGCCACTGAGAGTTTGATCCTCCTCCAATAAGTACATGGGGAGCACAAATTGAATTTAGTGTATTTTTTTCCTTTTTCAGGGGGCACAATGATGGGGGTGGACTTGGGAGGATTGGGAAACAAGTGCGGTGGGGTTCATTGTGTGAAATTCCCAAATTAAAAAAAATGAGAAAAATAAGCAAAAAGTAAACATTTCTGATTTTAAAAACAACAACAAAAAACATCTACCAACATGCCCCATGGACCCTCTGCCGCTCTTAGAACTAAAAGCCCTGAGTCAGCTGGGCGGTGGCAATACACTCACTCAGGCAGTAGAGGCAGGCTGATCTCTTGAGTTTGAGGTCAGCCTGGTCTAAGGAAATAGTTTCAGGACAGTTAGAGCTGTTACAGAGAAACCCTGTCTTCAAAAACCAACAACCAACCAAACAAGAAAAACCCTGAGTCTTCAAATTGTCTCCTAAGTGAGTGCCTGCTCCTTCAAGACCCTGCTCCAATGACACCGCCACTTTGAATATCTCATTTCTCAGCACTGTTTGTTGACTGAGGTTTTCTGTCCTGCCTAGACCTGCAGTCATTCAGTCCCAAAGAATCACACAGAGGTCTACATTAGTTATAAACTGATTGGCCCATTAGCTCAGGCTTTTTATTTATGAATTCTTATAACTTACATTAGCCCATAATTCTTGTCTGAGATAGCCACATGGCTTGATACCTTTTTCGACGAGGCAGTCACATCTTGCTTCCTCTGTGGCTGGGTCAGGACTGCAGACTGCAGAATCCTCTTCCCAGAATTCGCCTGTTCTCATTGCCCCACCTCTACTTCCTGCCTGGCTACCAGCCTATCAGCATCTTATTAACCAAGTACAAAAAAACAAATGTTGACAGGGTAATACCATTGTCCTGCAGCACAGCACCTTCCCTAGTTGATAATCCTTTGGTTTGTGATTTATAATACTTTATTTAACACTTCATAACTGGTTTAAGAGGAGCTGTCCACTACATGGATGATATCTTGTTGTCTGATCAAAACATAGATACCTTAGAAAGGCTGTTTGAAAAAGTAAAGATAGTGTTACCTAAATGGGGATTGCAAATTGCTCCTGAAAAAATCAGAGAGGAGATTCTGTTAATTATGTAGGTTATAAAATAGGTTTACAAAAAATTAAGACACAAAAGGCACAAATCAGGAGAGACTGGTTATGAACTCTTAATGACTTTCAAAGATTATTAGGAGACATCTCCGGCCTACGACCGGCTGTTGGGACAACACCTGATCTAATAATTCATTTAAACAATACCTTGGATGGTGATAAAGATTTAAACAGTCCCAGAGAATTAACAGCTGAAGCAGAAAAAGAACTGACAATGGTTGAAGAAAAATTACAGGAGGCTCATGTGGACAGGGTAAATCCAAAGCTTAGTTGTATTCTCGTCATATTGCCTTCCAGAATTTTTCCTACAGGAATCTTGATGCAAAGAGATGATATTATCTTGAAATGGATCTTTTTGTCACACAAAACAAAGTAAAAAATTAAAAACTTTATGTGGAAAAAGTCTCTGAATTGATTATAAAAGGAAAATTGAGACTTCGTCAATTAGCAGACATAGACCCAGCAGAAATTATAGTGCCTTTCACTGCTGATGAGATAAAAAAAAACGTTGTGGGAAGACAATGAACCATGGCAAAGAGCTTGTGCTAATTTTCTGGGAGAAATTAAAAACAATTATCCAGAAAGCAAAAGAACTTCTTGGATTCTTCGTCGAATTATCCGGAGCCTGTACATTTTATACTGAAGCTAATAAATCAGGGAAAGCAGGTTACAAATCAGAAGAATTGAGTAAAGTGAAACAAAGTCCTTATGATTCTGTCCAGAAGGCAGAATTATATGCCATTCTTATGGTGCTTAGGGATTTTAAAGAACCTCATAATATAGTTACTGACTCGCAATATGCAGAAAGAGTTATCTTGCATATTGAAACTGATGAATTTATACCTGATGATACAGAACTGACCTCATTGTTTATCCAGGTACAAGACATGATCAGGAACAGGTTTTGCCCTATGTATATAACACACATCTGATCCCATACGGGTCTGCCAGGTCCTCTAGCACAAGGTAATGCAGATATTGATCAATTATTGATTGGTAGTGTGCTGCAGGCATCTGAATTTCATAAAAAATATCATGTCAATAGCAAAGGCTAGAAGAAAGAGTTTTCTATTACATGGCAACAAGCTAAGGAGATTGTAAAGAAATGCCCTACTTGCTCTTTCTATAACCAAACACCACTGCCTGCAGGGACTAATCCAAAGGGTACTCAAAGGAATGAAATCTGGCAGATGAATGTGTTCCACTTTGCAGAATTTGGCAAATTAAGATATGTATATCACAACATTGACACGTATTCAGGTTTCCAATGGGCAACTGCTTTAAGCTCAGAGAAAGCTGATTCAGTAATCACTTATTTATTAGAAGTTATTGCCATCATGGGTATACCTACACAAATAAAGATGGATAATGGTCCAGCTTATGTTTCTAGGAAAATGAAACAGTTTTTTGCTTATTACAATCTGACAGGTCAAGCAGTTATAGAAAGATCAAATCGAACTATAAAAGATATGTTGAACAAACAAAAAGGGGTGGAAAATACCCCCAGAAATAGGTTACATAATGCTTTATTAACCTTGAATTTTCTCAACGCTAATGAGAAGGGGACAATGGCCGCAGAAAGACATTGGATAATGAAAAAGTCTGCTGAATTAAATCAAGCAATTTATTTCAAGGATGTGCTGACCTCACAATGGAAGCCAGGAGATGTGCTGCGTTGGGGAAGGGGTTTTGCTCTTGATTCCACAGGAGAAGAAAAATTGTGGATAGCATCAAAACTAATAAAGGTTCGGTTTGAAGAGGAGAAGCCTCTTGGAAGAGATAAATAACAACTCATTCACAAGGGTAATAATCACAGCAAAGGTAAGAAAAATATATAGGTTGGGGGCAGGGTTCTCTTCTTATCTCCACAGGAAAACACTCATTTTCAAAGAATTCAAGGAACCCTGGATATTTGAATACTAGTGGATAGAAACCATCTACAACCTAAAGAGGATCAGCAATAAAACCAAATAGTTTAGGTAAGTATTACTGTTTTTTTTAATATGTACTAATGTGCATTTATTTATAAATATGTAGAGCTGGTTTTGGAGTTGGACTATGGCTCAGTCCCTCTTCAATTCCAAGCCTGTTGATAAGAGATATTCCAGAGTTTCTGTCTCATGTCAAGAGCCAAGATATGGGACAGAATAATAATAGTTTATAAATTTTCTTGGCCTTTCCCCACATCTGTTTGTCTTTATTAATATATATGTCTGTATATGTCTTCATAGATAATGTTTAACTTTCCCATAACAAACAATAAATTTTCCTGCAGTAATCTTTAAAGTTACTAGGATGAAGATGGGGCCCCACAAAATCAACTCCACCTGGTTTCTATGATGTCATAATGTTGATAGCGCTACTTTTAGACCTGTTTTTTGGTACCAGCTGCACAAGACAGTTCCGAATGCTGCACAATTTTTGACAACACTTTGGCCAGACCTCTTCAAAACACTCAGAGACTATTTGCAACTTTCTCACACCAAATGTTAATATTGGAATTTTACCATCATTTATTTTCACAGGATCCCCTAAGAAAAACGTCATCCCCATGACAGCTGGAAGCAATTTTAGAGGATGACGTCCCCTCTACCAGTAGAGTTTGCCCTCAGATCTAGGGACATCATTTAGGGGTTGGTTATAATTGATATAGGGATGAGGGGATGGGGGAGATATTTTACAGGCTCAAGGGTGTAGATCATTAATTTTGAACGAAAAAGGGGATTGTTTGGTGATGAGATAATAATATATTGGTATTTGTGAGTTACTGTTTTTAGAAAATTATATTGGTGTTGATTCTTGTACATTGATATATTGAACATTGTATGTGAGTATGCTTCTACTTCTATTTGTATTGATATATATATATACACATATATTTACATTTCTACCTCTGATTAAGATATTGTCTATGTAATGATATACATTGTTTACATTTGGAGGTCATTGTCCTCATTCATTGCACAGTTGTTTATTCTCTTAGTCTTCAAGTTAGACAGATATAAATCAATAGTCATATATGTTTGTCATACTTATATTTAGGCTAATCAGGTTATTTAGGTGCATAGAGATCGTAGTTAGTATAGATAGTATAATCTTCAACCTCTTCAAAGAGCTGTAGAAAATGGCCTTTAATCTCATCTAGAGTTCCGTACTAATGAGACACAATTACTCCTGGCATCACCGCTCTACTCCTGAGAGAACGTTGAGTACCAAAGACACTCCACTTGGAGCTTGTCTTCTTCCTGGCAGAACTGGCCTTTGGGCAAAGAAAAAGCCCATACCTTGACCACTGACAGAATTACAGAATATCCGTAAATGGATTAAAAACAGGATTGTCTTATCTTGCCCATACAGGGTAAGAGAGTTCTAAAAGGTTCCTTGCTTTTGAAAATGGCAGGTCAGTTACATCAGGCCTTAGCCAAAGTTGGTTGACTCAACACTGCAAACGAGACTTTGGGTGATTGCCCAGGTAATCAGTTGTCTCTTCCATTTGTTGCACATTTTGGAAGTTTCCCGCTTGTACTTCCGGGCTGCTTCAGTAAAATTATTTCCCTTCTCAGATCTTTGATGGAGTTGAAGATTAGATAGTTGTAGTTACCCTCTACATTACTTAGACTCCTTGAAATAGAATGTTTAGTAAAACTCTTGTTATATGTTTCTTGCTTAATATTGTTGTTTGTAATTTTATATTTATTATTTGTTTCTATTGTATATAGTTGTATTTGGTTTTGTTCTGTCTTATTTTAGACAAAAGGGGAAGATGATAGGGGAGTTCAGCTAATCACATTCTGTCCGTGGGGCGTGTTGCCCTAAGGCAAAAGTTTACCTATAAACCTGGCGGGTACGCTTCCCCCCCACTTGCTCTCTCTTGGCCCCTGCGTTCCTGATGAACCTTTGGGACTCTGGTGTAAATTTTCCTTCTGTTAATTAAAGCTGTATCTTTTGTACTAAGCTAGTCTGGCTGATTTTTAATTATCGATCGACCACGCCCGCTACAATCGGTGTCCCTTAAGACTTAGGCAATGAATAAAAATAACCATTACATCCTATTTCAGGGCTGCACTGGTATAGTATGCTTCCATTAAGAAGCAAGATATCTTAATTTGGTCCATAAAATAAATGTTATTAGACACCTTTGAAATTGCTTACTGTCTAGATTTTCAGACACTACCCTAAGAACTACCACATTCTTCAAACTATAGAAAGTCCCGCATGTTGTAAACTGAGTATTTACAAAGAACTAGTTATTTCTTTCTCCTCACCTTCCTTGACAAACAAGGAAAGAATCAAGAAAAAGCAAAGGAAAACAAAAATGACAACCAGCTGTCACTTTCCACTTCAGTCCCCTCAAGTCACAGAATCAGACATTCAAGAGATTGAAGACTTTGACATCACCCGGGACGACACTCAGCTGTTACTAGAGAAGGACCAAGGAGTCGTTAAGTTACCAGTTTAAAATAAGAAATAGAAACGGGGGTTAGAGAGATGGTTGATGTTTAAGAGCATTTGCTGCTCTTGCAGAGGACCCAGGCTCATTTCACATACTGGCTTACAACCATCTGCAACTCCAGTTCCTGAGGATCCAATGCCCTCTTCTAGCCTCCAAGGGCAGTGCACACATGTGGTACAGATATACATGCTGAGAAGACACCCATACACATAAAACCAAAATAAATCAACTTTAATAAAGAAATGGAAACAGAGTCCAGATGCTTTAAGTCTTATCCCCACCCCCAGGCCTAACGCCTGGTTTCTGTCCTGACTGTACATCACCTGTGCATGCCTAAACATCACTTTCTAAGTCTGGAACGAGAGCTACATGTGTTACTTTTACAAATTTCCGTTTTGAAGCCTGCAGATCTGGTAGAAGCAAAACACTACGAACTACTCAGTAACAAATTCACATACCTATTGGTATCATAAGAGCCAACTAGCTGTGACTGCATTGAATTACTCAGTGATTAACTCTGCATCCTTTTTGTCTTATTTTACAGTCAAGAAAAGTGAGGTTCAATGTCTCATACGCCTTTTCTGTAGTTTGGCAGAAAGACCCAGTGGAAAGCTTGCTGATGCCAGACTAGACTGCAACACGTTTCGGGGGATCCTACACAACATATTTGGAATGACTGATGATACATTGATGAATAGGGGTAAGGAGTCACAACAAATTGAAATGAACCAACCCAAAACTGAACCCACCTGAATGTCCTTTCCACAAGACTGGACTTTCTCTCAGTACCAAACTAGAAAGGAATAATCCTGGCAGGAGAGTGCTGCACACAGTAGCCAGAGGGAACGTGAGGATGGCTTTCAATACAAACCCACGCCAAATTTTGTAGCTCATAGCAGGGAAGTTTTGAGAAATCACCACCACTGAACTAAAGAGTCTGAGGGCTTTTAATCATGAAAGTACAAGCCACAGAAGTGAATCATGAAAGTCCAGGTCACCAATGTGTAAATCATTAATTGGCTTTTTTCCTTCATAGAAATGTGTCAGTGCAAAAAATGACATTTTATATTGGAAATATTTAAAGTCAATGTTTAAAACATGAAAGTGATTGGTATATCTAGTTAAGTTCTGTAGTAAATCATTAAAATATACATTTTGTATAAGATTTGACACATGCATATCCGTGAAACCATTGCCACAAACAAAATCATCAATATACCCTTCATCTCCAAAGATCAAATAACATTTGAATGTTTTTCTATAGAATACTAAAGTTTCATTGATAACTTTAAAAATTGGATTGGCAAGATAGGTCAGCAAGTCTGGCTTCCTGAGCTGCAGTCCCCCAGAACCAACCTAAAATGGATGAGAGACAGTTCCACAAGGCTTTGACCTCCACACAAGGCCATGGTACATGTTCATGCACTCACATGTGTGTGCATGCGCGCACGCACACACACACACACACACACACACACACACAAATGAGAAATACATAAGAACTTAAAAATGTTAAACATTAATAATTTAGTTTGAGGCGTGGAAACTACAACAGATTTCATACCGCTTTTTATTTTTGATCATTAAACTGTTGCTAATTAGCTCTAGATTTTTTTGGCTTTAGCAACTACATGAAACACCACAAATGAAGATCATTATTGCTCATTGTGTGGAATGACTATTCTGCTCTAGAAATAAAGAAAAAAATCCACATTACCAATAATTTTGATTCTTTCAAAAGCTAACACCAAAACAGTTCCCCCTTGATTTGTAATTAAAGTTTTCTACATAAATGGGTATGTGTGTGTGTGTGTCTTATAAAACAATTACAATACACTTACACACTCCTTTTCCTTTTCAGTGTTCCATGTATTTGACAAAGACAGTGATAACTATATAAATGTACAGGAGTGGGTTAAAGGACTGTCAGTGTTTCTCCGAGGAACTTTTGAAGAAAAGATGAAATGTAAGAAACAAATACTAACTTAGTGCTATGACATCAATCCTGTGTTTAGTGTGTTCGTGCAGTGACAGAGCCGTCACCCTAAAAGGGACAAGAGAGCGTTTTTCTGGAGCTGGTTAACTAGAGTGACCACAGCTGGGAACACAGATTCAGGTTTACCCAATTTGCATATTTGTGACCACAAAGTCATAGATCAAACACTTTTAAAATTGATGGCAGCATTGGGTAGGTGGTCACAGCACAGCAGGGAACTTGTTACAGGCCTCACTGGTGACATTCTTAGCTTCTGAGCTGGTAGAAACATTCCAAAGGAATATCCACCAGGATGTCAGATCACATTCAGAGGAGAAAATAAATGGCCATTTAAAGTAGCTAAAGATAGTCAAAGGTAATTAGGCTCTAGACTCCAAATATTCCAAAATTGCTGGAGTTCTCATTAGTCAACCTTAGTAGATGGAGCTTCTTCCAGGAATGATTGTTCACAGGTGAATGCTTATATAACCAAACAGATGAAATCAGTGTTCTCTACAACAACCTTGAGAAAATGCCTCATGAGATGGTTCGTCAGGTGGGGGCGCTTGCCACCTGTCAACCTGAACAAAATTCCAGAACACACAGTAGGAAAGAACCAATTCCTGAAAGTTGTTTGCTGACCTCTATGAGCATAAATGCATGCATGCATAAATGTAAAAAAAAAGTAAAAAAGTAAAAGAAAACCCACAAAAGAGAAATTGGGAGACCCAGTTGTGACCCATTGCCTTTACTGAGTCTGTCATGCTCAGCTGTCGCCACTGTTACAGTCCAGTTAAGAACAGCCACTGAGGGTCCACTGACAAGACTAAGGTTTCTGAGCCTGTGAGCTCAGCAGAAAACAGGCCTGGAATGTACACATGGGTTGTTTGGGTGTCATTTGTTGGCTTTTCACTGAAGAAGGTGTGTGTTCAACTATATGAGGATGAAACTCAACATGCCCTAACAACCTAACAACACTAATATCCCTCTGGTCTTCATGACTGAGGAGAGGAAAGTGAGAGCAGACCAAAGATGATTCTAAATCAAAGGAACGCTGGGCACTGGGAAGTGTGCCGATCCGCAGCTCTGCGCAGCAACAGCTCTGGTCTACCCCCCCAGGGTAATGTCCATGTCCTATGCTTTATTCCTGCTGTCAGGATTCCCTTGGATGAATTCTGGAAACAGAATAAAAACTAATTTAGATACCAGTTTTCAGAGAAACAAACTGCTTACCATGTCCATTTGCTTAAGAAAAGACTATAGAGTTCTTTGTAATTGAGCAAATTTGTGTATCTTTTTGTTCTTCCACTTGAATTGAAGAGAAGATGCCTGAAGGACAGAGGGAACAGTGCTGGCTGCTTTCCCAGAGGACCCAAGGTTGATTCCTAGCACCCATGCTGGCTGGCTCACTACTGTCTCTAATCTTTAGTCTAACTCCAGAGGATTCAATACCCTCTTCTGGCCTCTGGCAGGCACCTGCACACACCCAGGACACACTCACATAGACACATACACATAAATTTTCTAATAAACATATTTCTAAGCTAAAAATACATTAACACTTTAGAGCAGTATTTTGAATAAAAAAACTTCTCTGCCATTCAGTAGTTCTGTGCCCCTTGTAGTTCTCCTCACATTCACTATTCCATGAGGTAGTTCCCACTCTGTAGTGTCTGGGAGTGCAAAATAGTGCTGGGGACTGAATCCAGGGCCTCACACACTTTAAAACAAGCACTCTAACCATCCCTCACTCCAATTCAGCTCCTCCAACTTTCCAGGGTTCTTACACAAGTCTCACTGAGAAGTGAGAAGCTGTATCGTACCTGTGGCACATGATTAAATAGCTCCGAAGATGATCTGTCTTTTCTAATCCACTTCCTCAAATGCTTCTGACACATTTTAGGAGAGGCTCATTTGGGGAACACTGTTTTCTACAGTAGGTTTCTTCTTAAACTTGTATGCGGACTGGAGAAATTCTAATAGATACCCATCTCATCTGACACTCGATTTTCTTCCTGGTTTTTGCTGAAACATTCAGCTACACTACTAAACTCCAAGAAAGCTACTTCACTGCTACATCCCCAGGACATGATATAGAAAGCATGGAAGTCCCTCTCAGGAGGGAAGCTTGCAGATGAGGTAGATGGGCAGATGCAAGGAGATGAACACATTCACTATCTGGGGGAGGGGAGATCCTTTTGTGAGGATGAAGTAAAGTGTGTGCTTAATTTTTATAGTCTATATGCAGAGAATACAAACACGCTACACACACATATATAAACATACAAACAAAAGTTGGTTAAAAAATCCACCTCATTTATTGCAGCTTGATACACTTTCAAACCCCAAATCCAGGAACCTCTAACGGAGCATTTAATCCTGTGGAAAGAAATTTAATAAGAAGCACTTTATTATAAAACCTCTGCCATATAGTGGATCAAATCAGTAATTGTATTTGTATCATTTATTATCTTATACTAAAATAACTAATGATATCTTATTGGTTCAATTTTTGATTTCTATGTTTTATAAAGTCTGTTTTGAAGTTTATTATTTAACTGGAGATGGTTATATTTCCCGGGAAAAGATTTTTGACATGTTGAAGAATAGTCTCTCCCAGCAGTCCCCCGAAGAAGAAAATGATGAAGGAATAAGGGAGTTGGTGGATATAAGCCTGAAGAAAATGGTAAGCATGGGCATGGCGATGCACTGCATTCAAGCGAGTAGCTGCTGCACAGGCAGGGAGTGAGCAATGGCTGTTCCTCCACAGTGAGTCACTTCCCCATGGACAGTTCTCACTTGCATTTTATTTGCTTTTCTGATCTGCCTCACTGAAAGAAAGGTGCTCGGTACATATGGAATGGTTTGGTGATTACATAATCATTATGCAAAATAAATGTTAGTTTAATTATTTTAAAATATTACTACCAGTAAAACCTTATTAATTTGGGAGGAAGCTAGATTCAACAGATGTAAAATTTTGTGCTTTGTGTCTTCATGATTTCATTCTTTCAATTTATCCAAACCCTCATTTTAGCAAAATAACCACAATATTTGATCCTTACAGAGTGCTTATTACATAGCAGGCCTTTCAGGGTTCTCTATAGTATTAATTCATTTTATCACACACACACACGGGGTGGGGGTAGAGAAAGAGAGGGCGACAGGGAAAGACAGACGCAGACGGGGAGAACGATGAGGCATCTACATCTGTAGAATGCGCTCTGGTAAACACTAGCGGCTGCTCAGGCTGAGCGCAGATGCTGAAGAATCACGCACAGGACATCCCAAGTCCCTTTCTGAAAAGGAAATGTTTATAAAATGTGCATTTTTCTCATGGCCACTCACACTTATTTCTAGATCAGATTCTAGTTATGCACAAAAATGAAAACTCAAGGACATCCTATCCAATTCAATCTGAAGCAGCAGCTTAAGGCATTCATAATTCACAGACAGTTCCCCTGCCCTGGATTCTGCACAATATATGTAATCTCTCATTAGCCTTGTCCAGAACACTTTGCTGACTTACACCCCTGCTTTCTACTGTGATTCAAGTGGACAGAACTTTACAGGCTCCCCACACCTAGAAGGAGCCTGGAGCCTCCATTCCATGAATCTAGCCCAGTCTGGACAGTCACTGTGATAACTCCATTTGCCTTGCCCTTAACGGCTGACCTTTCTACCTAATGAGCTCCCAAATAAAGCCTTTTGAGAAGTAAAATTGTGCTGAAATATCTGAGCCACATTATACTTGTATAACTGCAAAAGGAGCAGTAGAATAATATAGTTCTTCCAGTGTGTCACTGACAGGGCTGCACTGTGTATAGCTAAGAAGACTTGGGTCAGAAGAATAAATCAGTGACTTCTATTAAAAAATACCCATAGATTTGTGTAAATAATGTCTTCAGCAGTAGGAACATAATAGTTTTACAGGACAGTCTAGATAATTAGTTTTCTATGGCAAAATTAAAGAAGACTTTGATCATTTATCATGAAATCATCTTTCTCTCTAGGATCATGACAATGATGGCAAGATCTCTTTTGCAGACTTTGAAAAAGCAGTAAAACAAGACAGGCTTTTGTTGGAGGCCTTTGGACCATGTCTACCAGATGCAAAGGTAGTTACAAATACTATACTTAAAGTAGATAAGAGAAAATTTTCATTAAAATTATATAACATGTGTGTGTGTGTGTGTGTGTGTGTGTGTGTGTGTGTGTGTGTGTGTGTAAGGTATGCATGCCATGCGCTGGCCAGTTTTATGCCAACTTGACACAACCTAGAATCATCTCAAAGAGTTACCTGAGAAAATGCCTCCATTAGTGATTGATGGGGTTTGGCTCAGTCCATTGTGAGGGGTTGTTATCCCTGGGCTGATGGTCTTGAATTTTATAAGAAAGCAGGCTGGGCAAGCCATAAGAAACAAGCTGGTAACCAGCACTTCTCCACGGCCTCTGCACCAGCTCCTGCCTCCAGGAGCTACTACTTTGTTTTGAGTTCCTGTTCTCATTTCCTTCAATGATGGACAACAGTGGAGGTATAAGCCAAATAAAATAAACCCTTTCCTCCCCAACTTGCTTTTGATCATGGTGCTTCATTGCAACAATAGTAACCCAATCTAGGTCACGCCACAATGCTTGTGTGGCAGCCAGAAGACAATTTGTAGGAACCTATTCTTTCCTGCAGCCATATGGGTCCCAGAGAATTGAACTCAGGTAGTTAGGTTTCTAAGCAAGTGCCTTTACAAACTGTGCCATTTTCCTGTTAAGTTAAGGAAACATCTAAAGGACTAGAAAATAATACATGATAGTCTCTCCCCTTTGTAGCTTCAACCCATTACAATCACAAAGCCATCAGCCTCATTCCAGTTTGGGGCTAAAGACATTACTATTTCAGTAATTATAGTTAACAGACTTGGATTTAACTTGCTACCTCTTTGGCCACACAAAGAAGAAAGGAATAAGCATGTGCCATGTAAAGGGGCATGGAAAGGAAGGGAGAGCGACTGATGAATGAACATAGCTAAGCAAAAATGGACAGGACTAGGGATACCATTTAGGATTGAGCAGCCAGCAGAAAGTCAACTGTTGTGAAGTAATCTTGAAGATGACTCCTGCCCCTTCCTCTTCCTCATTCCCTGCTTGACAAGGCACATGCCTATTCCTTTCCTATCATGGCCACTACTGTGTATGAAGTGGATAACCAAACATTCTTCTCACACTCACAGAACAGATCAGGAATGCACTTATGAACAGAGAACCCACATAACAGCTCCTCCCATGAAGGCCAGAAGTGAAGTTTCTGGACTGCCACACACTAAACTACATGGAAAATTATCTTAACCATTTTTAGCAGTACAACCCACTCTCCAAAACCTTTTCCTGCTGTGAAGATGCAATTCGGCACCAATGAAGAATTCCTCATTCCTCCTCCCCTCATGGTTGCACACTGCCTTTACCAGGGTCCTGAGGTACAGAAACATAAGTAGCCTGATTCAGATATCATTTGTTCTTTCCAGCTCTGTGTTTAGGTTGTTAATATACCTTTTACCTGAGATTCCAGCACAGCAATCTATATAACCACCTCTTGTGAATGGAGAACCTAATCCCTTGTTGGCAATTTCCTGAAGCATCATCCAGCATTGAAAAGCCATATTGGCAGAGCTGATAGCACCCCACGGCAACTGAAGTAAACCTTATTCTTATGACACGGTCAGCCACAACTCACTGAAGAAGGTCCTTAGGGACAAGAACCGCATGCATAGAGCACACGGTGCCTTCTTAGTTTACTTTCCCAGAAAGAAGATGGAAACAGTCTGTACAAAACTACATGGTCCACTGACATAGGACAGAGTACAGATGTGCTGACAGGGTAGAGACCCACACTTTCCAAAGTTAATTCATTCTTAGATTACCATAATTCATGTAAATTATTCTTAGAAGCTACAATAGCATGTATATTTCTAGATCTCTAATACCAACTCTGCTCTAACATTGTATCGGCATTTTTGCTTTACAGAACTGCCTTCATTTTGAAGCTCTGATATTCAGAAACAACCTGACTACTAGTTTTTGAACACAAATTTCTCAATACCTGCATTAAAGTCAGATCTGGTTGCATTAGAGATTGCTATATTTATTTCAAACAATGTAAATACTGTAACATAAAACTAATCCAGTTTCTGCTACCCTGAGTGTGGATCCAAAGAGGATGTACACATCTGCAAACAGTTTAAAAGAAACACAGAAAAATTAGCTTACTTTAAAACACCAGTAGTAAGCTATTGTAAATCATTAAAATGATAAACATAAAAAACAAACAGAAAACAAAAGGATCTCTCCAGAAAATATCAATTTAGCTTGGTGTGTTAGTACACACCTTTAATCCCAACACACAGTTGGCCCAAGGTCAACCTGGTCTACACAGAGAGTTCCAGCCAGCAACAGCTACCCAGTGAGACCCTGACTCAAAAAGAAAAAAGAAAGAGAAGATAGATTAACTTGCTGGCAAGCTATATTCTTCTTCTTTGTTTTCGTGGGTGGGTATACATATCTTCCAATTTGTCCTCTGGAGTCTTTGGCACAGATGAAATCACCTGGTTTAAGAAGAAAAATCACTCAGCAGCAGACAGCAACAGATAGTAAAACCTGGACAGAAATAAGTAAAATGTAGGCTAAAAGAACAATACACAGGAACAACCAATTTAAGACTTATTTCCTTACAAATGTAAGAGTAACAACTAAGAGTGGAGGGAAGGGAGAGAGTATAAACACGCCAAAACAAACTAATCAATCAACCAACAAAACAAAATAAAACAAAAAAAACAGGAAGGTTTTAACAGATTCCAGTGAAATTCAGAAAATCATTTGGGAATTCTTTGAAAACATATTTCAAAAACCTGGAAAGTCCAAAGAAATGGATAAATTCCTAGGCAATATATTCATGGACCAGCTTGAACCTTCTTAAGATTAGAAGCTACCTTGTTACAAAGTCAAAATAGGTTCATTCCTGTTTTCTGTAAAACTTGTATTTGACCATGTCTTTACCCATATTCTGGAATTTGACATGTTCCAGACCTTATTCCTTGACCTGTATCTTGTGAAATGTTTTGCTCAATAATTTTGAGATGTTCTGCCAAATTCCTACATAACTAAAATTCCTGTGGAAACCCTCGAACCCTGACAACCCCCTCACCTTGCAGTTCTTGAACTATATGAATTCTACTCTCTATTATGTTCAATGCTATTTTCTATATGAATCTCACTACTCAATTATATTCAATGCTATTTTCTCAACCCTGCTTTAGGAAGACAGCCCTGTCTGACAGAAAACAAAGCTTGCTTAGTTCAACTAAAAGAATTTGGGTAATGGTCTTTATTCTCATTTGGTGGGATTACTATTATTACCTTTTAAAATTAACTCGAGAAGATTAAAGCATCAATAAAAGTCTCTAGAAAAGTAATGTCCAAGACCAATGGATTCACTTCTGAATTCTACTAACCCTTAAAGAAGAACTAACACCAATGTTCCTCTAACTAGTTAAAAAAGCAGAACATTATTATCTAACGCATTCTATGAAGCCAGCATCAGCCTGATAACAAGTCATACAGGAACCAACAAACAAGAAAACTATAGCCCAATTCCCCTGATCAACATAAAAGTAAAAAGTTTTCAATAAAATTACTGCAAATTGTCAGGGGCTGGAGAGATGGCAGAGTGGTTTACAGTACTACTGCCTGCTCTTCCAGAGGTCCCGAGTTCAATTTCCAACAACCACATGGTGGCTCACAACCATCTGTAATGAGATCTGGTGCCCTCTTATGGCCTGCGGCCATACATGCAGTCAGAACACTGTATACATAATAAACAGATTATTGCAAATTGAAGACCACATTAAAATCATATAACCACAACAAAGCTAGTTTTACTCCTGGAATTTCCAGGAAGGTTCCCACATAGGAAATACAGCACAGAGACTCAAGAACAGAAATTACATGTTTATCTCGGTACATATTAGAGGAAGGCACAGAATTTCCTTTAATATCAGAAATGAAGACAAGGGTGTCCATTTCTTTCCATCTTATTCAATCTAATATTGTGAGTCTAAGTCAGAGCAAAAAGACAAAAATAAACAGAAAAGGAAATGTCAGATTATCTCTATTTGCAGACTACACAACCTTATACTTAGAAGACTCTACAACCTTATACTTAAAAGATTCTAGTCTCATCTAGAAAACTCTTAACTGTGATAAACAGTTTCATCAAAATATACAAAAATCAATAAAACCCAGTAGCCTTTCTATAAAGCAATGAACTTGCCAAGAGAAAAAAAAAATCCCATTAACAATAACAACAACAAAACCAAATGGTTCGGAAGATGGCTCAGGTGAAAGGTCCTTGCCATGCAAACACGGCCTGAGCTCAGATCTTCAACCCAAGGTCAAAAGGTTGGATGCAGTAGTGTACACCTACAGCAATTCACTGGGGAGACAGACAGTAGGCTGTGTAGCAGCCTACTGGCAGCCAGCCTAGCCAAACCAGTGAGCTCCAGGTTAAGTGAGAGATTCTCTCTCAAAAACTGAGGTAGAAATTGACAGAGGAAGTCATGTGCACAAATATATGAACATGTACATGCACACACACCACACACTTAAAACAAACCCAGGAATACATTTAGCCAGAAGATCAAAGATCTCTAGTCAAAACCATAAGATAGTGAGAAAAGACACTGAAAAAAGACACCAGGAAATGGCAAGACCTCTCATGTTCATGGACTGGAAGAGTTAATTTTAACAATGTGTGTGTAATTACTGTTCTGCCCCATCCCACCACAGTCCAGTGTACGTGTGGAAGTCAGAGGGCAGCTTGTGGAGTGGATGCTAGAACAGAACGCAGGTGGTCAGGCATTAGCCTCTGGCAGAATTAATTTTTTTTTGCTTGTTTGTTTTTTGAGACAGGGTTTCTCTGTGTAGACTTGGCTGTCCTAGAACTTGCTTTGTAGACCAGGCTAGCCTAGAACTCACAGAGATCCACCTGCCCCTGTGTTCAGAGTGCTGGGACTAAAAGCATTTGACACCAGTGCTCAGCAGAATTAATTTTTTAAAAATATTTATTTATTTATTATACAATATTCTGTCTGCGTGTATGCGTACAGGCCAGAAGAGGGCACCAGACCCTATTACAGATGGTTGTGAGCCACCATGTGGTTGCTGGGAATTGAACTTGGGACCTTTGGAAGACAAGGCAATGCTCTTAACCACTGAGCCATCTCTCCAGCCCCCCAGCAGAATTAATTTTTAAAACTACATTTATCCGGGGGCTGGAGAGATGGCTCAAAGGAGATCTGGTGCCCTCTTCTGGCCTGCAGGCATACATATAGACAGAATATTGTATACATAATAAGTAAATAAATATTAGAAAAAAAAAAATCCAAAAAACCCTACATTTATCCATTTGTGTATGAGGGAATGCATACGGGTATGAAAGTCAGAGTAAAATTTGTAGGAATTGGTTCTCTTCCTACCATGTGAGTTCTGGGGATTGGACTCAGGCTTGTGGAAAGGACCATGGCCCACTGAACCCTCTCACTGGCCCTGGCAGAACAAACATTGTGAGAGTGTCTATCTTTCCAAAAGTGACCTGTAGAATAAACACAAGCCTTATCAAAATATCAAAGACATCCTTCCTAAAACAAGAAAAAAAAACTGTCCTAAAATTCACAGGGAGGTACAAAAGACTCCTGAAAAGCTAAAGAAGATTAAGTAGTGGGAGCAAGGCTAGACATGTAAGGACATCTTATCTCAGATTACAGAGCCATGATGACAGAAGCAGCGCAGGGCTGGATAAAGACAATAAAGAATAGTGGAAGGAAACAGAGGACCCAGAAATGAGCCTACACAACTACAATCACAGACTTTTTGACAAAGGTATCAAAAACACATGGGGGAAAACCAGCATATTTCAATAAAGGGGGCTAAAAAACTGGATTTCCACAGAAAATGAAAATTGGATCTGTACCTCTTACTGCGTGCGCACGCATGCACACACACGCACATTTGAAGATGGATTGAGAACCTTAAGTATCAAACTCTGAGACAGACAGAGGAAAACAGACTCTAATGGAACAGGTAATAACTTCAAATGGACTGATGGCATGAAACCCAAAGGCTGCTGCACAGTGAGAGACTGCAGAATGGGGATCTCGGCCCAACTGAACAAGTAAGGAGTTAATAATGAGAATCTGTAAGAGTTATAAACTTAAAAAAACCCAAGTCATCCAATCAATAAATAGGCTAATGAGTTAACAGACTTCAAAAGAAATACATATGGCCAATAAATATTTAAAAGTGTTCAACATCATTAGCCATCAGGAAAATGCAAATGAACATATCACAGGATGCTATCTTATCTCTAAACAAATGCAAATAAAAACTATGTTGGGATTTTACCAGACAGAACAGCTACAATGAAGAAAACAAACAGGATACAGACAGACACTCTGGTTTTACTGGGTTGTTTTTGTTTTTGCTGTTGTCTCACTGTGTAACTTCGTGGGCTGGCCTGGTCTGGCACGCACTATGTAGACTAGTGGTTTGTCTACTTCTGCCCGTTGAGTCTGCACCATCAAATTTTGAAGCATTTGTAATAACTGATAAATTTAAAGACAGGACTGTTCAGTGTGAGAGATGAAAAAAATTGGAAAAACTATCATAAAAATGGTACGATCTTCAACTCCCAGGAGGGTAGGGGGAGAGATGAACACTAAATACATTGTTATTATTCCTACCCAAAATAACTATTAATAGTAGGTCAAAAGCAGTATTAAGAACATCTTCGATTTGAAATGGAAGAATACTAGAAGCTGTGATAAAGTGTTTCTTTTTGTTGTTCTATTATTTCCACGTATGGGATGTAGACATTGTACTTTAAAAAGCGGTCAGCCCTGACCTGGGGTCTACGCCTCAGTTCAGTGCACCCGAGGATATACTGTGCTGACACACCCCGAAAAAATACAGTAGTCTTAAACATAAAATCTGTGTTCATACGCTTACCATCTTAAGCAAGTCCTCATCCTTTACAAAATAATAATCATTAGGTGAAAACAAAGCTCTGTAAACGAAGTGAGGTCACCTTAGCCTCTTAGTCACACTGCGAAACGGGAGAGCAACTGTGCAAACAGTTAACCGTAAGAACATGCCCGCATCCCTCCATGTGCGATTTCTACAAGGCCTAGCTCCACTAAACAAAAAGAAAGGTTTCATAAGCTACTTTAAACGTTAACTTTCTTTTCTTTTTAGGAAATGGAAAATCATGTAAATAATGGAGAAAAGACAATCTGATTTCCAACTAATTCAACTCTTTGAAGTTCATACATAAAGTGTCAAGTGTAGGGCAACTGACAACTCAGTTTTTAGAAATCTCAACTTGTGGACTGTGGATGTGGTAGGGATGGGCACCTGCCTAACACACGTTCTGTTCCCAACCAAATTAATTAACTAATTAATCAATCAAAATAACTCTTTCTTTTATGGATATCTACCATAAAAACATTTTGACTTTGATGTTATCTGCAGTAACTTTGAATTTAAGAGAAATGGCTGATTATAACTGTCAATTTTAGCTTCTGGTATACTACCTAGGGAACTTTAAAAGGGAAGGAGAGACAACATCTGGAATCCGCTATCACAGTTTGATTGACTGGAATATTTGGTATTTTGTACCTACATTGACATAAAATATATCTGTTCATTGTTAAATCGAGAATTACTGCCAAATAAAACAGATATTAATCATGTCATTTTGGAAAATAAAGGTGGAAAAATATATCAAAAACAAAAAGTAAAACAAATAATTACAATGTTTTAGTTCCTCCAAATAATTTCCTATACAGTTGTTTGTCCTCAACTAAGTTATCTCAATATAAGAGAAAATAGAAGAAAAAATATAAGAAAATATAAAAATATAAAAAAAATAAGAAAAAAAATCTCACCTCTTTAAGTTTCCTCCGAATTAAGTTTGCCGTGGTATTCAAGGAGTCGTCCTGCAGATCCACTGGAGGAAGGCCTGGCAACTTCGGTCCAATCACAACCTCATTACTGCTTGTGTTTGTTTCAGAAAAAGTTCCAAGTTCACGATCACAGTCTCTCCTTCTTTTCCTTTCCTGCAGCTGTGTTGTCCTAGGCATAAATCTGCCAACTGACTCCGAGGTAGTAACAGCCTCTTGCATACTAGAGCAAGGTAGTGAATTTTTGTAAGTACTCACGTGTAGTTCTGGGGAAAAGGCACTGAGGTTACAGTGCTTTGATAGTTCACCATGGTTCCTGCCACCACTACAGGAGTTTGATGCTCTGTCCACATGGTCCCCAGGTAAACAAGTGGTTTGCGAGGTAAAATAGCACAAAGGCAATTCACAAGAATAAGGAAGACAAGGACTTGAATTCTCAGAAGTGTTCAAAGCAGCTGTAGAAAATCCGGGTATATGTGAATGAAAATCTTGTCTAGAATCTTTTGTTCCTTTTTGCTCTGGAACCAGTTTCTTCTTTGTCAAGTAATAATCTTCAAAGTTATATTTTTAGAAGTTGACAGAACAGTAAACAAATGGTTTATTAATTGTTTTGATCATTCAGAATCTTGTAATTCTATAAACAACTTGATGTTAACAAGCTCTACTCCCAATATTACACTCCTAGAACAGGGAATGCATGATAAGATTTAAAGGCCTTTGAAAGGATACAAAGGGGGGGTAGCGTGCCAAGCTTCCCTTGTCCTTGCTTTCCTTACTTATCTACTACATTTTCTTATTCATCTATCTAGACTGTCTCACTGTTCCTCTGGAGTCTCCTTGTCTCCCTACTCAAAAGATATCTGTTCTTTTACATTTTCCACTACCTGTATGTAATCTTAGAGCGTTTCCCATGCCATTGCATAGAAAGCTTGTATAGTTTCAGAATATTCTACTATATGGATAAACCATGTTTAGTTCCTCCTCGTGACAGGAACAACTTGAGCTGGGCACAAAGCTAACTGAACCAGAACTTTCCCATGATGAGGAGCGCTTCTGAGAAGCCTGCAAATCAAAACTGCTTCATGCTGCCTTCATGTTAGACACTGGGTGCTTTGGCACGGGACACAGCACATCATGATCTCCTTCCTGTTTACTGTCCTGATCCCTCTCACTGAGGCACACTGGTTACCCTCTAGGACTTACAGCTCCTTAAACACAATGAATGGCAATTTCATTCTTAGGTATTTAAACATATAGCCTGGCCTGCCCTGCCATCCTTTTCACTCCCCTTCTGGATAGCACTTACTAAAATTCAAACACCTCTCACATCCTGTAAGAAATAGTTCACGAACCAACTTCTCTCCCTTTCTAGTCAAGACTGTGTAGAACCCCGTGGTTCAAGACACCAAAGACCATGACTGAGCAGAAACTCCACGATGACACACATCCCTACCAGTGCCTGATACACAGGAGGTGTTAAAAGACAGACTTTCCGTACCTTTACTTTTAGTAGCTCTTGCAATATAAGCCTTTCTTTCTTCTAACTTTTCTCTAGTTTCTTCAACTGTCTCAAATTCTGGAGCATAGCACACATGAAGTAACCCACCAAAGAAACTCTGTTCATCCATCTTTTTCTTAGCTATCCTAAAGAGAAATACATAATTTAAAGAGTATTCGAAAGGGAAATACATAAATTACATAGCTTAAAAAAACATTGCTTTTACTATTTTTACTTATGCCTTATTTGTAGGTGTGTGTCTCTGCATGTGGGCATGTGCACACAAGAAGGCCAGAGGTTATAAAAGCCCTGGAACTGGAGTAACAGGCAGTTGTGAACCATGTCACTTCCAGTCCCTAGATGCTTTTTTTTTTTTTTTTTTTTGAGACTGGGTCTCACTTTGTAGGTTTGGCTGTCCTGAACTTACTGTGTAAATCAGGCAGACCTTGAACTCAGAGATCTGCCTGCCTCTGTCTACCAAGTATTGGGATTAAAGGTGTGCACTACCATACCCAGAAAGTTTGGGTTTTTGTTTGTTTGTTTGCTTGCTATTTTTAATGTGTGAGTGTGTGTAGAGGCTCTGGCTTGGAGCTAGAGTTTACAGACATGACCTGGTTGCTCATAGATTTAAGTGTCTGTCTGTCTGTGTATGGGGGGGGGGGGGTAAAGTGCTTTGTTTTTGGATGACCACACTGACCTGGAAAGTACCTCTAATAAAAAGATTTATCAGCCAGGCGGTGGTGGCACATGCCTTTAATCCCAGCACTTAGGAGGCAGAGGCAAGCGGATCTCTGTGAGTTCTAGGTTAGCCTGGTCTACAATGTAACATGAGGGGGCCTGGCCTGCTTGTTTGTGTTTTTCTGTCCTGCCCAGCCCTCCAGCTATTTAGTTCCAGAGAAAAATCACACACAGATCTCTGTAAGTTATAAAGCTGATTGGCCCATTAGGTCAGGCTTCTTACTGATTGACAGACTACAGACAATTCTCCCGTACTACTTCCCCTCTTTTTTAAAAAACAAAGGAAAATATCCATAGTCCATTTTTTGGGAATGTGGGCATAGTATTCCAGGCTACTTCCAGCTGGTTGGGGGCGCTGATAATCTTATGGGGACCTAAAGAAAATTTAGAGTTATGATCAAGTCCTGACTGAAGTATCCTGTGAGTCTTGATCATCTCAGGCTGCAGTCTTGAAACTGTTCTGGATGAAGAACTCTGATATTGGGCCATCTGTTCCTACCGGAGATTGCTCAGGTGGTCACCCTTGGTCAAAGATGATTTTTCTTAACTCTGAATAAATCCACAGCCTCTCATTTTCTGTGGAAACAAAAGCAAAATCTCTTCTCCAAAGTAACATACCTTTTGACTTCAATTTTGAAGCCAAGGTATTTTCAAAATACCTTTCTTGGATTGATTCTAAAGCATTTATAAGCAAGTATCTTTTAGCAGCTGTTGCGCCTTCCTCAGTATTTAAACAATTCAAAGAGAGCATAATAGCATACAGTATCAAGATTCTCTGTGTATTTTCCATCTTTACGTGGCTTTATTTTAACCTCTATTTCTTTTAATTTTACTTTTAACTTTTGGCTTTTTGAGACAGGTTCTCTGCGTATCTTTGTCCTGGAATTCCCTCTGTAGACCAGGTTATCCTTGAACTCCCAGAGATCCATCTGTCTCTGCCTCCCCAGTGCTGGGATTAAAGGTGTCTACCACCACACCTTGAATTTACAGAGGTCTGTCTGCCTCTGCCACCCAAGCCTTGGGATTAAAGGTATGTACCACCACACCCAACTACTCTCTTTTTTTTTTTTTAGGCTTTAACCTTTTTTTTTAAGCCTGCATATATTTTTAGCATATTGTAAACCATTTAGAGGTTTTTTTTACTCTTTGAATCTCTCTTTACTGTAGATCTCTCTTTTTCTGGCCGCATGGGTCTTTAATTTGCTAAGGAATATGGAGAAAACAACAGCCAAAAGCTCTTAAGGCGTTTCAAGGTCCTTGCAAGGAAGCAAGCTGCAACAGTGTTTCCATAGTCTGGACAGCCTGCTTGAAAGAATCAGTTTTCCCTGGCAGGACGGCCCAGAAAGCTGGCATTTTAAAACAGCGCAGCTTTTTTCCTGCTAAGGCTGAAAACCAAAATGCTTTACTCTAGTCTTTCCCAAGCTTTCTCAGGCTTTCTGTGGATGCACTTATCCACGTTGGGCGCTACTCTGTAACATGAAAAGGCCGGGCCTGCTTGGGGTTTTTGTCCTGCCCGGCCCCCCACCTGTTTAGTCCCAAAGTAAAAATCACACAAGAGATCTCTATAAGTTCTAATGCTGATTGGCCCATTAGGTCAGGCTTCTTACATCTTGATTAACCCATTTTTCTGATCTATGTTAGCCATGTGGCTCAGTACCTTTTTCAGTGGGGCAGCTCACATCCTGCTGCTTTGGTGGCCTGAGCAGGAGTGGGAGGAATCAACTTCCTCCTCCCCAGAATTCTCCTGCTTTCCCTGTATCATTTCCACTTCCTGTCTGGTTTTCCCACCTACACCTCCTGCCTGGCCAATCAGCGTTTATTTAAAATATGATTGACAGAATCTAGACAATTCTCCCGCACTACAATAGCTAGTTCCAGGACAGGCTCCAAAGCTACAGAGAAACCCTGCCTTGAACCCCCCCCCCAAAAAAAGATTTATCTTATTATTTATTTACTTGTAAGTATGTGTTCTGTACATGTGTGGGCAGATACACACAGAAAGAGACCAAAAGAGGCCATTGGCTCATTTGGGGCTTGAGTTACAAGTCACTGTGAGTTATCTGACAAGGGTGCTTGGGAATTAAACCCCAGTTATCTGAAAGAGCAGTAAGCTACCTTAACCACTGAGTCATCTTTTCAGCCCCAAGAAATTATTCTTCCTTTCCTTCTACTAATAATCTCAATGGATTTTCAGCTAAGCTAGACACATTTACTTACACTTTTAAAAAACCAACTCAGTATCCATCGGTTAGCCTGAGTCATAGAACTTGTCAGCAAAATAAAACTTTAAACTGGCAAATGATTCAGCATGTAAAGGTACTTGCAACCAAGACTAATGTCCTGAGCTTAATCTCTGGAACCCACATGGCAAGAAAAAGCCGTCCTTGTACACATGCCATCGCATGTGCTCCTAGATACATACTTATATGAATGAGTGAAAATACTGAATATATTAACAACTACTCAATGCAAAATTAAGAACTGTATTCCTTCTGGGGTGGGAGAGATAGCTAAGGGGTTAAGATCACTGGCTGCTTTTCCAGAGGACTCAGGTTCAATTCCCAGCATGGCAACTCATGATAGTCTATATAACTCGAGTTCCAAGGATCTGATGCCCTATTCGGCTCCACAAGGTCTGCATGGATATGGGTGTATAAGATCACACTACCACACCACATACATATAAAAACAAAAGAGAAATAACTAATTTAAAAAGACTTGTACTTATTCAAGAAATACTAAACACCTATGCTGAACCAAGCACTATAATAAGTAATTAAGTATTTCTGAATCTACAGATAATTATTAATGCTTACTGAGATATTACCCCATGCAATGCCATAAATGCTTCACTTAAATTGGTATCTTATAACCATCTTATGATGAAACTAAGGCACCAGGAAATTGATAACTGGATCATGTTTATACATTCATTTACAAAACCAGGATTCAATTGGGATGGCTAACTCCAGTCAACTGTATCTTCTGTGGAGATACAAAAACGCACTAATCCATATGGTTTCCTAAGCACGAAGAGCTGGCCAACTGGTGCGAAAGACACACAGTCCTTTGAAGTCAAGTGCTTTGTGGTGGACTATGAGTTGCACGCAGAAGAAACAGGAGGGGCTGGAGAGAGGCTTTGATGCGAAGAGCACTCGCTGGTCCTGTAGAAGAGCAGATTAAAACTCCAGCACCCATACTGGGTGACTCACAAGCACTAGTGACTCCAGCAACAGGAAATCTGAAGTCTTTTTCTACTATAAAAATATATGAATGGCAAGAGAAATATATGAAGTCAGAGAAAGATATGTTTTACATCACGTTAGTGATTAAAAAGAAAAAAATGGCTAAGGTAAACTAGAGAGAGTGCACCAGAGGTACAGCACTTGCTTAAGCTTGAGTGCCTACGTTCAGATCCCTGACATCCACATAAGCTGGACACTGCTGTACACCTACAATCCTGGTGCTGGCGAGGAACACAGAGAAGATAGCCAACAAATCTAGCTGGTGAGCTTCAGATTTAGTAAGAGACCCTGTCTCAAAAAAATATGACTTTAAATCTGTTAGAAGGGTAGCTGGAGTCAGGAGGAAGCTTTGAAGTTCTAGGTCAGCCTGGTCTACATAGCCAGTTTTAGGCTATCCAGGGCTACATAGAAAAAACTTGTCTCACAAATAAATAAATAAAGTGGGGAACAACTGAAGAAAGCACTTGGCATTGGCTTCTAGCCTACACGCACACACTTCCCCCACAAAAGGGTTATCACTGAAATAAAGCATTGTTGACTTCAATCTTATTGGAATACAAGGTTTATGTCATATGTAAGTATTAAAAAGAAGTTGATTAATATAAAACCATAACAAGAAGAATTGCCATCGCTAATATTTACTCTTAATAGGAGGTACCAGTCTAAGACCTTTACATAAGTTATTTCATTTCCTTCACCTTCAAGGACCCTCAAGAAGCAGACCTTTTTGCCATGTTGATTTTAAGAAGAGGAAAAATGTGCTTAGCAATATTTAAAAAACCAAAAAAAAAAAAAACCCTCCAAAGTAATGAAGACATAGGACTGGAAATTTACTGCAGATAATTCTGAATCTACCATACTACAGGTTCAAAAACAGTTAAGCACAGATATGAGAGGATGGAAATATAAGAGGAAAGAGATCGTGTCTTTCTAAAGTTAGCCTTTTAAAGATTTGGAGGAAGCGCCAGGCATATAAATGACTGTCAGGCTGCTTGACCAGCGCACATGAAGCCTGGAAAGGTAAAACCAAACCGGAAGCTGGGAGGGGGTGGCGCACACCTTTAATCCCAGCGCTGGGGAGGCAGAGGCCAGCCTGGTCTACAGAATTAGTTTCTGGACAGCCAAGGCCACACAGAGAGACCCTGTCTTGAACCCCCCCTAAAACAAACAACAAACAGGAAGATCGAGGATGATAAAGAGTTTGTGTGATTTGGGTAGGTTTCAGAAAACCCTGGGGTAGTTTCAGCAACAGTAATACAAGAAATGGGCACTGCTTAACTTGTACATACCTTGCACTTTGTAATTTCACAAATTTAATGAGATAAACTTCTGTAAAATCTTCCGCTGGGTATTCATCTAGAGCGTTATACTGTTCAATCGCACCATACAGAGCAAATCGTTCAACTAATTCCTTCATGGCCCCCACTGCAGGCACGCCTTGTATTAACAAGTACTGAGATTCCAAGTTGATTGTATATACCTTTAAAATAAAAAAAAGTCTCGTTAAATGTACTCCACAGACAAACCTATGGCAAGTCTGTCCCCGACTTTTTTAAAAATGGAACTTTGAAAGCAAGAAATGCTCAATCCAGTATGTAAAACATACACACAAAACTGTCACTCCTCTTGGCTAAAGCATAACACACATCACATTAGGACATCTGACTATACTATTTAATAGAATTTTTTCCAGAAGCTGACTCCAGAAAAGATATGGAAAACAGTCACTCAACTCTCACTCAGTGCTCGTCCTGTGAGAAACGCTATTGTAAACACGTAGAATACAAAAGTAAAAATCGTGTTTTCGTGGAGTAACGGTCTAGTAAATAGTTGACCGAGAGTAGTGATAACATTTGGTTCCTCGTGCCGCCTCGATCGAGAGGAGGCTCAGACTGCAATCCTGTTACGCCTTTTTAATGTAGGCTGGCCATGGGAGCTAGGAAACCGAAGTGACTCTACCTTGACCGCACGAGGACGTCGGCTCTCCCGGTATTTGGCCCGCGAGTCACACACGGCAGTCTGGACGTGGTGGTCGAATATGCAACCCGGCTTGCCGTCACTGAACGCCATCTTGTCGGCTGCAGTCCTGGGCGCCAGAACAACATCCGCCGGATGCGCTACTCTGTGTCCAATGAGAGAGCAGAATGGGCCAAGCGTGCTTAGATTGGCTGGACAATCGTCTCCCGAGAGCGAGGATTCCATCTGCAGTGTGCCGCCCCCTAGAGTCTCGGAGGAGAGGCCCGATCGCTGTTCTCAGGCTCCGACGCCCTGGCTTTCCGGGGACGGGGGCGGACTCTGCCGTGGGGTGGGCTGGAGGAGTTGCGTCGGGACGATGTGGAGCAGCGAGCGTTTGGCGGGTGCGGGGTCTGGCGGGGCGGTAGTGACGGTGGCCTTCACGAACGCTCGGGACTGCTTCCTCCGTCTGCCGCGGCGCCTCGTGGCCCAGCTGTACCTGCTGCAGGTAACTCGCTCGTTTGGGGTCGGGCGCCGCCGACGTCTCGTGGGACGGGTGTCTGCTGACTCCTTCCCCGCCCGATCACTACGGCGTGAGGTGGCGGTGCCACCCGCACCGCGGCTAGTGCGTCCTCTGACCCTACGGTGGATTTCCTTCCTAGTCCACCTCTTTAGCGGGGTTAAACCAAACTGAATATTCTCGGGTTCTTCCTTGGCATTCGGAAGCAGCTCTAACTCTAGGTTGAAAAGCTCTAGAGAGCTCTTCCATGGTTTATTAAAGTATTGTCCTGCCAGCGAGTTGCCAGTGCTGCCATAGAGGCCTCGAGTGGCAGACTTGATTTGTAGGTTACGAGGTTGCCAATTTATGCAGAGGGTTAGTAAGGTGACAGCTCTCCCTGATTAGGACGGCTTCGAACATCGTATGGGGTGTGCAGGGAAGGGAAGAGAAGGCGATGGAATTGTTCCCACCTCACACCTTCACGTAGGTAACCAGGATCCAAGTGGATCTCAGAGAGCTATCACTGTCTGGATAGTCATTATGGTGTTTCAACGTTATAACCATCTGCGGAAATACAGCATCCAGATTTTCTTAACAAAGAGTGCAGATAGGTTCGCTGGTTTGAGTGTGTTCATGGGGACGAAAATTGGAATATTTGAAATCTCTTAAAATCCTAGATGCATGGTACCAGACTACTAGATCATAAAAGAAATATCCAAGAGTTTGAAATGACTTCAATTAACTCACCTTTCTTTCCTCTTGAGCTACTTCTATTTTGCTTTTAAAACCCACCTATGAAAACATACCAATTTCATCAGAATCATTCTTGTTGTTAGTTTGTCTTCACCAAATAGACAGTTTTTAACTGTCTGTTTTGCTTTCTTTGTGGGGGAAAGAAATCGATCATTCAAGTTCCAGCTTGTCTCATTACCCCTTTGTCTTTTTGAGGGGAGAGGGGGCGGGAGACATGGTTTCTCTGTGTAGCAACCCTTGGCTGTCCTGGAACTCACTCTGTAGACCAGGTTGCCCTCAAACTCATAGAGATCCACCTGCCTCTACCTCCCTAGTGCTGGGATGAAAGACATGAGCCACTACCACTTGACGAGTAACTACATTTTGGCCAAATAAATTGATTGGGATGTTTTTCTTGTTTGCTCAGGTTGATTTTTTTTTCTTTTTTTCTCCCTTGGAGGGCAGGGGCCTAGTCGATGTTATAGATATTTCAGAATTCATATTTCCTCCTGCAGTGTCACTGGCTTTAAAGGTTGCTTATGAAATAAGGGGAACTGAGTTGCTGAGCTTATGAAACCCCATAACAAAAGTCTTTGACCTCTGCCCTTATAACCTAGATAATGACCTAGGACTTTTGACTCCAAAACTGGGGCTTTATTTTCCTTTATCAAATTGTGTTTAGTTGAATGATCTCTGTCAGCAAAAACAGTTGGATCATTGTTTGGAAATTGTGAGAAAATTATGCAACTAAAGGTTACACTGTGACTCTCCCCCCCCCCCCACACACACACGGTTTCTCTGTGTCGTTCTGACTATCCTGGAACTTGTTCTGTAGACTAGGCTAGCCTGGCCTTGAGCTCAGAGATCCACCTGCCTCCTGAGTGCACCACGAGGACTGGCTTCAGTGACTTTCTTGTGTATACAAGTTTTTTAAAGAGCATTTCAGCGCCATGTTGCCTCAGAAGGGACTCTGTTATTCTTTGCAATTTGTACTGTTAAAAGAAAGATAAAGTACTGAAATTTTGTGTAAATGAGAGTTTGATGTTCACCTTTTTTTTTTCCCCCAAGACAGGGTTTCTCTGTAGCTTTAGAGACTGTCCTGGAACTAGCTCTTGTAGACCAGGCTGGCCTCGAACTCCCAGAGATCTGCTTGCCTCTGCCTCCCGAGTGCTGGGATTAAAGGTGTGCGCCACCACTGCCCGACTGGTGTTTGCCATTTTAAGGTTTGAATTTATTTTGACTTAGAGAAATGAATTTAATAACCTTAACCTTCCTGGGATAACAAGTCTTCAGCATGCTGGCCTTTTACTAAGGAGGGGTAAATATGTAGAAATGCTTGTGATGTCGTAGTAAAAGGGTAAAGCATGTTAAACCTTGGCCGTCATATACAAATGCATGAATCACTAACTGAAAAGCGTTAGCAGAGCACATAAAATTGTTCGTAGTGTTGTGTTTTTGTGAAAGGAATTTCTTTCCTTCCAAGTGCACATATTTCTCACGATTCCTAGAACGAGTGTAATTTTTTTTCAGAGATAGAATCTCACTGTGTAACCCAATTTGATCTTGAATCGCAACCCTTCTGCCTCAGCCTTCCGGCTGCTGGAGTCACAGATGTGCAGTGCCAGCCCTGGAAGTCAGTTCTTCAGCCATGGAAGACACAAGCTTACATAGTACATCATTTCCATGTTTTGGTATTCTAATATATTTTTAATTATGTGTATATCTGTCTGTCTGCCTGTCACATGTGAGGATACTCGTGGAGGCCGGGAGAGCACAGTGCTGGATCCACACAGGCAGAAGTACCACAGTGCTCTTAACCACTGAGCCATCTCTCCAGTCCATTTAAAAATATATCTTCCTGTAGTTTTATGACCTTTATTTATTTGTTTGTTTGTTTTGCTTTTCTTTTTGAGAATTACTGTCTTACTGTGTAGTCTTGGCTGGCTTGGAGCTCACTATGCAGATTAGACTGGCCTCAAACTCATAGAGTCAGCCTGCTTCTGCCTCCCGTGTGCAGGGATTAAAGGCATGTACTAACATGCCCAGGCAGTTCTATCAACTTTAAAAGTCATTAAGTAAGTACATAATAAAACATTTCAGTAGGAAGTACAAGAAACAACTAACAATAATTCCCTCTAGGGGCTGGGCAGTGGTGGCGCACGCCTTTAATCCCAGCACTCGGGAGGCAGAGGCAGGCGGATCTCTGTGAGTTCCAGGCCAGCCTGGTCTACAAGAGCTAGTTCCAGGACAGGCACCAAAAACTACAGAGAAACCCTGTCTCAAAAATCAAAAAAAAAAAAAATAATAATTCCCTCTAGGAACACAGACCTGTCTTCACATTTTACCTTTTTTAATTTTTGTACTTTTATTTTGTGTGTTTATTACTTTTTAAATAAATTCATTGATCAGTAAGAGATTAAATATTCCAGCTGATTGGTGTTTCATAACTCTAAATTGTGTTGTTATATATTTTAAAATTTTTATTTTATTATGTGTATGAGCATTTTGCCTGAATGTATGTTATTTTCTTTTTTAAATTATTAATTTAAACACATACATACTGAAAATCTGTGTAAGTTATCAGCTCCCTATGGTATTTTGAACTCGGAATTGCTTAAATTAGGCTATTAAAACTATTAGACTATCGGCTTTGAGCCCAGCATCACCACTAGTGGAGGTTCCAAATGATCATAGGTTTCTGGTTTTTTTCATGATAAATGTGAATAAAGAGTAGTTGACTACAGCACTGGTGTTGGTTGCTTGTCTGAATCCGGGAGGGAGTATCATAAAAACTAAACCCTTTTTCTTTCCTATTGTTTGAATAAATAGAATCAAGCTATAGAAGTAACCTGGGATCGCCAGCCTACTTACCTGAGCTGGGTGGAAGGCAGACATTTCAATGATCAAAGTGAAAATGTGGCTGAAATTAGTAGACAAGTCGGTCAGAAACTTGGACTTTGCAGTGGGGATCAGGTGAGCACAGCAGGCAGCCGTGGCCCCCCTTTAATGTGGCGTCCTCAAGCTCAGATACTGGGAGGGTGTGTGGATTTATGTGCTGTGATAAGCAGGCTGGGATGCTCAGGCTAACTAACTATATTTTGTTCATCTTATCTTGAACATGTCTCCTGCTTGGTTCTTGCTCATTTCCCAGTCAGTTTTTGTAAAATTATTTTCCTTTTTTGAGTTATTGGGTTTTCTTCCTGTTTTAGAACTTCATTTTTGTTTTTGTCACAATTTTACTATTTATTTTGTATGTATATGTATGTGGTGGGATGGGGGTTAAGGGTGGTAGGCCCGGGAGGAGGTCAAAAGACATGCTTGCGGAGATCAGAGTAAAGCTTGTAGGAATCCATGCTCTCTCTACCACGTGAGTCCCAGTGATTGGACTCAAGTGCTGAAGCGTGACACCGTGCAGCTGGTGACGACCTCTGAACTTGTCGATCCTCCTGAGATTGTAAGTTTGTACCAAGACCCCTGGCTTATTTAGCATTTTTCTAACATAACTTTTAACTTTTCATGATCTTACTTGGTTAAAAATATCAGTTCAACAGAGAGAAGTCTTTTCCATTTCTGTCTTGGCCCTGAATGTATGTGCTTACTGTAGACCCCAAAACATAATGATTTGTGTCTATTTTTTGTTATAGTATGTTCATCAGCTTATTCTAAGAATTTTAAATATTCAGTTTAAATATTCACTTAAAATTTGACTGAAAGTAAAAATTTCGTTATTTCCCCTTCTCTCAACCCAACCTCAGAATGCATGTTGCTGTTTGTTGATATTAAAAGAAATTATATTAAAAAAAGGATTAAAAGAAAAAGCTGACATCTATTTCCTGTAGTTTTATATTGTATACCTTTCTATGTACAGTCTTCTCTGGATATAAGCTAGGGTTGCTTCTGTGAGCACACATGAATGCCAAGGTCTTTAGATGTTCACACCCTTATTATAAGATGGCATGGTGTTTGCATATACCATCTGCATGCTGTCCTATATGATTTAAGTCACCTCTAGAGACTTAGAATACCTAATTCAATGTCAACGCTGTGTAAATACTTGTATTGTTTAGGAACACTGCCAAGAAAAAGTGA